GGTCCCGGGTTCGAGTCCCGGTCAGGCTGCACATTTTTCTCACCCTGTGACATTTGGCGCCCAACGGGGGACCGTGACTGAATACAGCTCAGAGTTTAATTCACATTGCTCTGTAACTCTGTGAAATTCGAGGACGAATTTCAATATAGCAGGGGAGTATGTCACGGTTCAGAACTGTTCACTATATAGGGGAGAAGATGTGTAAGCGGCCGGATAGCTCAGTCGGTAGAGCCGCGGTACGGTATTCCGAGGGTCCCGGGTTCGAGTCCCGGTCAGGCTGCACATTTTTCTCACCCTGTGACATTTGGCGCCCAACGTGGGACCGTGACTGAATATAGCTCAGAGTTTAATTCACATTGCTCTGTAACTCTGTGAAATTCGAGGACGAATTTCAATATAGCAGGGGAGTATGTCACGGTTCAGAACTGTTCACTATTTAGGGGAGAAGATGTGTAAGCGGCCGGATAGCTCAGTCGGTAGAGCCGCGGTACGGTATTCCGAGGGTCCCGGGTTCGAGTCCCGGTCAGGCTGCACATTTTTCTCACCCTGTGACATTTGGCGCCCAACGGGGGACCGTGACTGCCTCAAGCTCAGAGTTCAATTAGCATTGCTCTATAGCTTTGTGAAATTCGAGTACGAATTTCAATATAGCAGGGGAGTATGTCACGGTTCAGAACTGTTCACGATATAGGGTAGAAGATGTGTAAGCGGCCGGATAGCTCAGTCGGTAGAGCCGCGGAACGGTATTCCGAGGGTCCCGGGTTCGAGTCCCGGTCTGGCTGCACATTTTTCTGACCCTGTGACATTTGGCGCCCAACGTGGGGCCGTGACTGAATACAGCTCAGAGTTTAATTCACATTGCTCTGTAACTCTGTGAAATTCGAGGACGAATTTCAATATAGCAGGGGAGTATGTCACGGTTCAGAACTGTTCACTATTTAGGGGAGAAATTTTGAAAGCGGCCGGATAGCTCAGTCGGTAGAGCCGCAGTACGGTATTCCGAGGGTCCCGGGTTCGAGTCCCGGTCAGGCTGCACATTTTTCTCACCCTGTGACACTTGTCATCAATGTCAACATCAAGGTGAGTCATAATTAGCATCCCAAACCTATGCCCCAAGATGGTAAGTTTGCTATAATTTCACAACAACAATATTAAGCTATTAGTAACTTTCATTCTGTTTTCTTTTCATTATACCTTTCTGCAATGCTTAACCCACCTTTTCTTGGGCATTCGTCACATTTGCGTGACAGCTCTTTTTTAATTTTACTTAATTTTTGGTTTAATTTGCTATAACTTTGTTATTTATGAATGCATATCCAATTGACCTTTATTGTCAAGTCATTTAAATTTCACTTGATTTTTACCATAATTCGCTATTATATTGTTGTTTATGACTCGATTGTCTTTATACTTGAACAAAACAACCGTCAAAAGAACACATATGACACAACCGACATGTTGAATTATTCTGATATGACCTTGACCTTTAATAGACTTTGACGATCAGTGTCAAGTGTTTTTTGGGGTTTTTTTTTTTGTTTTTTTTTTTTTTTTTAAACTGTGATAACTTTGTTTTTTATTGGTGCATTTGATTCGTTTTCGGACAAAAGGACTTTAATTAAGAAACTGAAGTATTTTTTTTTTTCAAGTTTGACCTTGACTTTCGGATGATCTTGGCCGTCAAGGTCATTTTTATAATTAAGTTTAAATTATCATTACTTTTTTTATCAATAATTATTGATTGTATTGGACAGATTTATTCAAACTAGGACAAAACAACACCACTTATGACAACACCGTCATGTTGCATAATTTAGGTTTGGCCTTGATCTGTAACGACCTTGAAATCAAATTATGTTTCAAGGGATATTCTTCACTACAATATTCTTCCTCAAATGGGTTTCTCTCAAGAAATAAGACACAATCGAGTGTTTTCTCAGGTTGGTGGGGGTTTCCTATGTTGTAACATCTAGTTATCTGTTATATAAACATAATTTCCATAGCTTAGCAATGAAACTCAACATATTATAATGATACAGATAAACCCAGAGAATAACACATAGACTCAAAAGTTCAATCATACCATAACTCTTCAGAACTTTGCTATGATACCTTGGGGGTGGTCTAACCGTTACGGAACGTTTTAATTGCTATCAATACTTTGATATTTGCTCGTTTATTTCCATATTACTTTAAAAAACGAAAAGGTTGACAGATATATAAGCCGCCAATATTCATTCAGGATATTGCACAATCACCCTTGGGTATGAGAAAATACACAGTCAAAAGATTGTCCATGTAACGAGAAAACAACGAGCATAATTTGACGATTAGTGAAGTAGAATAAAATATATGTAATGAAATTTAACCAAAAACCCATTCAGAGTTAAGGGAATAGCAATTATTGCCAAAGGTTATCATCTATATCAGTAGGAAGTTGTTAATATTTAACCATTATCAAAATCACCCATTAGTCATATTTCAGGAGTGAGGTAAAGTAAGGGGAAAAAATTAAAAGCTAAAAGTGCATTTTTCTCCATATTATTGTTGATAACATTGACAACAAGAGCCCCGCTAGGCAGAGCATTATATGCCTGAAAGTATTTGTTTTTTTAGTAAGGATGAATCATTTGTAAGACATGGGAGTTAAATAAAGTATTACCTCCTTCAAAAAGCAATCTCTCTTTAAAGCTAAGGAACCTTCATATTTAATAGTGGCTGTTTCCAAAGCACCACCATCAAGTTGTTACCTTGTAAGTAAAAATGCTACGATGGATCCACGGAAAGACGCCTGGGGTATAACATAATATAAGCAAATTTGTTAGGGCATATAAGTTATGTACTCAATATAAGTGATCATCCTATGAAATTTGACAGTTGTCCAAATGCTTACAATATTTAGGTCATTTGATATTGACCTTTGACCTTGTGACCCCAATATAGGTAATCATCATATAAAGTTGAAATTTAAATGGAATTTGTGTAATGCTCCAGAAACCACAATTTTCAATGTTTAGGTCCTTGTGACCCTGACCTTTGATTTTATGACCTTAAAGTTAATTGGGATCATGTATTGGACATGGTTGTTCTTTATATAAAATTTTACAGCCAGCTTTAGGTTCATTAATACTTAAGTTATTGAGTGAAAATTTTAAGGTTATAGTGACCTTTACCTTTGACATTGTGACCTAAAAAATAATAGAGGTCTTTTACTCAATATTGACAATCATCTTATGAAGTTTGAAGACTTAGGGCTGAATGGAACTTAAGTTATGCTCCAGAAACCACCATTTTCAGTGTAAATATAATTGTGACCCTGACGTTTGACCTTATGACCCTTAAATTAATACGGGCCATGTATTGGACATGGCTGTTTATCTAATAAAATTTTACAGCTGTAGGTCGATTAATACTTAAGTTATTGAGCGAAATCCGTTTTCAGTTTAAAGACAATATAGACCTTGACCTATGACCTTGTACAAAATTAATAGGGGTCTTTAATTCAATATTGACAATCATCTTATGAAGTTTGAACACTGTGGGCCAAATGGAACTTTTCTATTCTTCAGAAACCACAATATTCAGTGTAAATATTATGGTGACCCTATACTTTGACCTTATGACAATTAAATCAATACGGGTTATGTATTGGACATAGCTGTTCTTCCCATAAAATTTTACAGCTGTAAGTTGATTGATACTTAAGTTATTGAGGGAAAACCGTTTTCAGTTTTAAGGTTATAGTGACCTTGACCGTAGACCTTGTGCCCCACAAATTATAAAGGGTCTTTTACTCAATACAGACAATCATCTTATGAAGTTTGAATACTGTGGGCTGAATGAAACTTAAGTTATGCTCCAAAAACCACAATTTTCAGTGTACAGATCATTGTGACCCTGATCTTTGACCTTATGACACTATATCAATACCGGTTATGTATTGGACATGGCTGTTCATCCTATAAAATGGTAAGATTATAGTGACCTTGACCTTTGGCCTTGTGAACAAAATAATAATAGGAGTATTTTACTTAATATAGACAATCATCTTATGATGTTTGAATACTGTGGGCTGAATGAAACTTAAGTTATGCTCCAGAAACCACAATTTTCAGTGTACATATCATTGTGACCCTGACTTTTGACCTTATGACACTAAAATCGAAAGGGATTATGTACTGGATATGGCTGTTCATCTCATAAAATTTTACAGCTGTAGGTTTATTCAAACTTAAGTTATTGAGCGGAAACCGTTTTCAGTTTTAAGGTTATCTTGACCTTGCCATTTGACCTTGTGACCCAAAAAGCAATAAAAGTATTTTTCTCAAAAAGGACAATCATCTTATGAAGTTTAAACACTGTGGGCCGAATGGAATTTTAGTTATGCTCTAGAAACCACAACAAAACCACCATCAGTGTTAAGATCATTGTGACCCTGATCTTTGACCTTATGACATGGCTTTTCATCTTATTAACTTTTATAGCTGTGGGTTGATTAATACTTAAGTTATTGAGCGGAAACTGTTTAAGTTTTAAAGTAAAAGTGACCTTGACCTTTGACCTTGTGACTCCAAATCAAAAGGGGTCTTCTACCACATATGGACAATCATCCTATGAAGTTTGAATATAGTGGGCAAAATGGAACTTAAGTTATGCTCCGGAAACAAAATTGCTATCGGACGGACGGACGTACCAACTTTTGATGTTTATGAGGCAAATCAGTTCATAAACACCACCTGAACCAACGTCCATAAGCAAAATAAGCTCATAAAAATAAAAAAATAGCTCTTAATTTGAATTTTATGAGTTTTTGTTCTTTATTTAACTACGGAATGAAGCTCATAATAATCAAATGCTTGCTCGGACATACAGCCGGACGGACGCCAGGGGTATAACATAATATGCCCGAAAGAATTTCGGGCATATAATTATGTTTCTTATAGAAACAAAGCTGAATTCCGTACTGATTTATGGAACTCTTTCTCTAATAATCAACTTACGTGTTTGGAGCAAATATCGCTTCTTGTTGTTATGGTTCTCAGTAAAAGAAAGCAATAAAAGGGATCCGTTTTTAGTAACATATCCGTATGCTATAACATTTTTTTGACTGATCGAGTTTGAAGCATCTGAATTAAAGAATACAATATTATTGGGTATAAGAAACTATTCATTTTCGGAGCATATAAAGCATAATTTCTGGTACTGATATTTTCTTGCTCAAAAAGACTGTCAAAATGAGTGTGTTTTTGATAGATCTCTACTATTACCTTTTTCATTTGATTAACAATGCATAGATCCCTGACCTGTCCAATTTCAATTATCAGATAAGTCGATACAATAAAAATTTCACTACAACATATTAGTTAAAAGAAAGCATTTCAAAATTTGTTGTTAAACTATTGTTATTCAAATGAAAAGTCAGATGAAAGCATCTATCAATTGGTTTAACCGCAAATATTGACATTGTTAACAAATAGGTTGTGGTGAAATTCTTTTTTGCAAATTTGAATTTAAGGGATATATTCATGACTTTTGAAAGGGAAATCTTTTATACTAAGTCTTGACAAACTGAAATATTACGATTGGTGCTTACATTTTATTTATACAAATCGTAATCATCTAGAAAACTAAATAATCAATCTTACCATCAAACATGTAGATCACATCACTGCGTATTATATTTGTCCATGACTGACCAGTGGCATTTGTAATGTTTAAATGAACTGTGTCATTGTACGTAATCGGGTGCAAATCATTTTTGAAACAAGTTTGAACATATTTCTTCCATTGAAAAAATTTTAAATCACTAAATACAATACTTCCATCAGTTGAAACTGTAAAATATAAACAAAATAACAAATTAAAATCAAGAAAACCAATCTATAAATAAAATAAGTGCAACCTGCCCGAACTCTTTGACACACCGATACTCCGGTGTTTTAAAATCTTTCTTCAAAAGGGACTGTACATTCTCATTTCATCGCTACTTATCGGTGGCTCTTTCGTTTTTGTGATTTTTATAAGAGCCTCCGGCATTTCCTTTGTACGACCCTTGACAAAAAAAGGCTGTAAAAGGTGAGGACATTTGATAAGATGTCCGTGTATAAAGGACAACGAAACTGTCTGTTTAAACAGATCGCAAAGAGGTAAAAGAGACATATATATTAACTGCATGCTTTGGGTATCTAACACTGGCTATATTGGCCGCTTATATAGTAACTGCCGATATAAAAACACTCTGATATATCTTTACAAAATTTGCTTTGGAGTGTTGTACATTTTCTTTAAATAAAACTAAATATATTATTACTAAGTTCATTAATGTGCTGAATATTCAACGTGTTGATCCAATAATATTTAAGATGTGTCCAGTTTTATCTATTTGAGTAAGTTAAGACAATAATTAAAAATAATTAACCTTTGTGCAAGTATTTTCCGTCTTAGCTTTGCGTATGTAAAACATTGGTGATCATTTGTTTCAAGCTCCATGTGCATACAAGAATTACCACGGAGTAAGGCTGGACGCCATCCGCACGCCAAATATTGGCGTTCCAATAATTAGATATGCTTTTCAAATTGTCGAATAATATATCAAACAAACGTTAAGCATATGGCAAGAAAAGTATGGTGGATTAACATGAATGGTAAGAGTATGGTGAGTTAACATTAACGGTAAGAGTATGGCGAGTTAATATTTACGTTAAGAGTATGGCAAGTTAACATAAACGTTGAGAGTATGGTCAGTTAACATTAACGTTCAGATTATGGCGAGTTAATATTTACGTTAAGATTATGGGGAGTTAATATTAACGTTAAGAGTATGGCGAATTTACATTAACGTTAAGAGTATGACGAGTAAGCATAAACGTTAATTGTATAGCGAGTTAACATTAACGTTAAGAGTATGGCGAGTTAAAGTTAACGTTAATTGTACGGCGAGTTAACATTAACGTTAATAGTATGGCGTGTAAACATTTAAGTTAAGAGTATGGCATGTTGATATTTACGTTAAGAGAATGGCGAGTTTATATTTACGTTAAGAGTATGGCGAGCTAACAATAACGTTAAGAGTATGGCGAGTTAGCATTAACGTTAATTGTATGGCGAGTTAACATTAACGTTAAGAGTATTGCGAGTTAACATTAACGTTAAGATTATGGCAAGTTAACATTTACGCGAGTTTACATTTACGTTAAGAATATGGCAAGTTAACATTATCGGTTTAAAGTATAACGAGTTACATAAACGTTCGTTATCATTTACGCTAAGAGTATGGTGAGTTTATTTTTTACGTTAAGAGTATGGCGAGTTAACATTTACGTTAAGAGTGTGGCGATTTAGCATTAACATTTATTTTATGGGGAGTTAACATTAACGTTTAATGTTAGGGGAGCTAACATTAACGTTAAGAGTATGGCGAGTTAGCAATAACGTTAAATGTATGGCGAGTTAACATTAACGTTAAGAATATGGCGAGTTAACATTTACGTTAAGAATATGGCGAGTTAACATTAACGTTAATTGTATGTTGAGTTAAAATTAACGATAAGAGTATGGCGAGTTTAGATTAACGTTAATTGTATGGCGCGTAAACATTAACGTTAAGATTAAAGCGATTTAACATTTACATCAAGAGTATAGCGAGTTTACATTAACGTTCGTTATCATTTACGTAAAGAGTATGGCGAGTTAATTTTTTACGTTAAGAGCATGGCGAGTATACATTTACGTTAAAAGTGTGGCGAGTTAACATTCACGTTAAGATTATGGCAAGTTAGCATTAAGTAGTGATGGAAATCGGATGAAATTTGTCCCAATCGATCATCGGTTCAGTCGGATGGGACATAATCGATAACTTTCGAATAAAGTCGCGTTAAAAAGAAATAGGGAAGTAACATTTCTTACCAAGGCACTTGATTATATTTAGTAACATGAACTTCATTTAGCACTTTTCAACACAGTTTTAACCTTATTATAGTCATAATTTTACGAAATAGATTTTATTTTTCAATGGATGTCAAATAATACCATTCACATCACATTATATTACTATTGTTTACATCACTTATTGATCCTGTTCAACTCCAAATTGTCTCTGAGTGATTTTTTGCGATCAGCGCGGTGTTCCTAAAAGAAAATTACCGTCAGAATTAATTCTCTTTGATACTTTTAACATTATCGACAACGTTGCGGAACAATTTTTTGTGAATCTATTATTTGTTTTACAAACAGTAACTGATCATCGGCGACTTGCGACAATCGGAACATCACTAGCATTAAGGTTAAATGTATGGCGAGTAAAACATTAACGTTAAGAGTATTGCGAGTTATTATTAACGTTAATTGTATGGCGAGTTAACATTAACGATATTAGTATGGCGAGTTCATATTAACGTTAAGTGTATGGCGAGTTAACATTAACGATAAGAGTATGGCTAGTTATCATTAACGCAAATAAAATGAAGAGTTAACATTAACGTTAAGAGTATGGCAAGTCAATATTTACGTTAAGAGAAAGGCGAGTTATTATTTATGTAAACAGTATGGCGAGTTCAAATTAGGATTAGAGTATGGTGAGCTACCATTAACGTTAAAAGTATGGCTAGTTAACATAAACGTTCGTTAACAATCACGTTAAGAGTATAACGAGCTTACATTAACGTTAAGAGTATGGCAAGTTAACATTAGCGTTAAGAGTATGGCGAGTTAACATTAACGTTAAGAGTATGGTGAGTTAACATTAACATACAGAGTATAGCGAGTTAATATTAACGTTCAGGGTATGATGATTTAACATTAACGTTAAGAGTATGGCGAGTTAATATTTACGTTAAGAGTACGGCGAGTTAACATTAACGTTCCGAGTATAGCGAGTTAACATTAACATACAGAGTATGGCGAGTTAACATTAACGTTAAGAGTATGGCAAGTTAACTTTAACGTTAAACGTATGGCGAGTTAGCATTAACGTTAAGAGTATGGCGAGTTAATATTAATGTTTGAGTATGGTGAGTTAACATTAACGTTAAGAAAATCTGTAAACAAAGTGATCCCTCTGAAGCATTAATCACAACAAAATTACATGAAAATTACAGACCCCGTTTGATTGACCTTTTCATGAGGGATAAGGAATAAATGCATCATCCCCCACGAATTAACATTAAAACAGCCTCCGGAATAAGTTTGCAAATCCGGAATTTTCGCAAACTCAACTACCCTTTTTAACATAGTTTCAATACAAAAAGTTAAATCAAACAGTAATTTGGATAAAAATAGACGATTATTGACCGATTACACAAAGATAGCGCAATAATTAAACGCTGGGTGAGCGTTCAAAGTGTGACCTCCCATGGGGTTTTTCAATTCTCCCACGGGTTTTTACGTATCCCACTGGGACTTTAGTGGAGTTGAAACCCCATTTCTTAAAGTGGGAGAATAAAACCGTGGGAGGAAAAAGAATTTTTTGGCTGAACTAACCCATTTAGTAAATGGGAGAAATCTCCCAAAATTAAAATGGTGCGGAAACCTCCCAAAATTAAAATGGGAGAAATCTCCCATGATGGCTAACTTGGAGAAATACCCCATGAGAGCGTGATGGGAGAATAACATTATGGGAGAATTCATCTATATCTTTTTTTTTTGTTTTACTTATTGGATCGGAAGTTTAACAGTAAAAGTTTTTCTACATGTTAATATTCGGTTCCGGTTTCGGTTAAAATGAAATAGGTCCGGTCCAATTAGTTATTTATTTACTCAATTAATTAATTATTATTTATTTACTCAATTAATTAATTAATTATTACTTTATTTATTAGTTAAATAATTAATTCTAAATAAATAAATAAATTCATTCATTCATTCATTCATTCAATTAATTATAAATATATAAATAAATAGAAAAATAAATAATTAAATTAATATATTGATAAATCAATATATCAATAAACTAATCAATAAATACACTTATTAATTAATTAAATAAATAAATAAATAAATTAATTAATAAATTAATAGATTGATAAATTGATGAATTAATAAATATTTTTTTAATAAATTGATTAAGTAAATAAATTAATTAATTGGTTTATGAATTAATTCAGTCATTTATGTTACAAATGTCCAGTTAGTCTGATATTGAATTAAAATATATCTGAAATATTATGATTTCGCTTGGATTATTACCTTAAGTTTCATAAACATTAATAGCGACTGTTTTTTTAATCATATACATATATAAATGTATATTTCTTTCCATTAATTTATAGTATTTGCACTGTGTAGGTAGTTATTATTTATAGTAGGATATAATTTTATGATTAGTATGATATTTTATCGTGTTATTATAAATGTTTTACTAGTCTCTTATAATTCAATGATTGAATGGTCATGTACTTTTCTGTGTTTTATGTTTGCTTATGAATTTTATTTGTGTATGTGCATGAATGAGACTTAAATAAATAAATATTATTATACATTGTAGAAATACTCAACAACAACAACAACATTTTATTTGCATAAATGTTATAACAACATTATAGCCATAAAGTATATATAATGTTAACAGTGATACAAGTTCAAATATAAAAAGTACATAAAAGTTAGCACGGGAAGTATAAAAAAAGAATTTAATTTCTCTGTCTACGATGCAAAATAAACATATTTGCTTAAACCAATTAATTCTTTAGATGACTTTGTTATTCATAAATTTTCAAATTTTCTTAATGAAGGCCATCTACAGTAATAATGTTTTAAATATTTATTCCTAATTTCTGTGTGTTTGGGACAAACCAAAAGAAAATGATATTCATTTTCGAC